TTTTTAGGTTACTCTCATTTTTCCATTTCATTAAATAGTAAAAAAAAAATATCTATAAATAAGCAGGTATGTAGATAGGTAGGTAGGTAGTCAGATTACATTACTAGCTGCAACACCATCTACCCTGTAGTTTCATTATACGAGCATTCTGGTCTATCTTCCCCCACAGCCAACATTAGGAATCTAGGTTACATTTTACAGAAAGGTCACTCATATATGTTTCATGTACATGTTTTTGAATCTTTAATGATATGATATACCAAATACGACATTCCCTTATTAAGTACTAAGACTGAACAAATCTTTAGACCTATATGAAGTTTAACAGTTTCCTGCCCATGGGCCATTCACATTTCTTACAGAGTTTAATCCTCAGCATAAGGATTGTTGCTACTATGAATGGTCTCTTTTTTTTCTATTTCTGAACTGATTATTACTACTACACAAATCATGCTTATTTACATTACAATGGAATTTTACTATATTAGTTTGAGTATCTTGGGCATTTTTTATTATCTACAAATAATTCTGTCCTTTCCAATAGTTCTCTCTCTTTTTCTGTTCTTAATACACTGGCTAAATATTTCAGAGTTACTTTAGTAGTGATGGCAGCAAGTATGCTGCTAATTCTAATAGGAGATAAAATTCTAGTGTTTCACCATTATTAGTATTTTGCCTATTGGCTTGATTCCTAATTTGTTTATAAAATTGCAGATACTTCCCATAAAATGTTTATAGTAAATATTTCTAACAGTGAGATAACAGGTGATTATATTTTCCTTCACAGTTTCCCAGTAAATGGATTATCTAGGTTTTCTACATCTACCTTAATACTTTTTAAAATTTAAATTCTGATTTATGTTTTTTAAAAAATTATCCATTTGATTAAGAGTCTCATATATATGTGGAAAAGTTTCTACAAGAATTTTACCATTTTTATCTACAGATAGCTACAGTTAAATCCAATAGCAGCTAATTTTGTATGTTATTTTTATTACTTAGACTAGTCACAAACTCTTCCAATTTATCTTCCAAGATTCCTAAAATGAATGGACACACACATCTTTATCTCCTTACTTCTCCTAATGTTCCTTGCTTAAGGAGAATGTTTTTAACTCCAAATTACCTTGATTAGTAATCAGTATCTTGCAAAAAGCAAAAGAGTGAAGCAAACCCTAAAAAAGCTTTGTCTTTAGAAACAACATTCTACTGTCCTTTGTGAAAGAGAGCATATCTAAAAAATGCCTGGATACAAATTTCTCAAAGTAAACTTATTCTGCTAACAAAAATGATACCTCATCCTTTTTATTTAAATACATTCATGCTTAAGTACAAGATGCCATAAAAGAAATATATTAACAATTTGGTATTAGGAAAATCCTAACATTCCCAGATCAGAGTTCCATGAAAACCAGATTCCAGTATGTTTAATATTAAAACTTGCATGTTAACAAATGTATGTGGCAATGTCTTCAAATCCTTATTAAATTCTGTTTTTTTTTCATATTTTATTAAGTAACCATTATACTGAACCTATCTCATCATCTGAAATAGTTTGAGATACAGTATCAGAAAATGCCAAGTTCAAATATAAACAGCTAACTTTTCATTTTTACTTTGCCAGGGAACTTTCAAAGTGCTAAAAAATGCAAGCTGCTACTCATCTTCTAAAAACAGAAATGAAATAATTAGATCACAATTGATGGCTCCTTTCTCAGAGAGCAAAAAAAAGATGAATGCAACTGGAATGTTTATTGTCACTGAAATTCTTCAGGCCTGGATTCCAAGTATAGGTTTGATGCAGGTTACTATGACAACTTAAATTACAGAAAATGTCCCCCCTTCTTCTACCAAGTTTTTCTGCCAAAAGATCATTTTGAGCCTCCTAAAATCTGTGTGCATGAATTACCTGTAACAACAATAAACATCTCTTTACAAGTTTTATTTAGAAATGCCCCCATCTAAACCATTAAAACCAAGTATAAGCAAATAAAAAATATTTTCCATTAAATCTACAAGGGGCAGAAAACCTAACCTGAAAACACACACACACATACACACACAGCTTAAAGTATTTTGAAGTGGGGGGATGGGTTAGCCTGGTGATGGGTATTAAAGAGGGCACGTAATGCATGGAGCACTGGGTGTTATATGCAAACAATGAATCATGGAACACTACATCAAAAACTAATGATGTAATGTATGGTGATTAACATAACATAATAAAAAAATGAAAAATAAAAATAAATAAATAAATAAAAATTAAAAAAAAAAAAAAGAAAAAGTATTTTGAAACTACTCCCCCCTACCAGAAGCACCCTATACTACCAACATAAGCTTCATTACAGAAACTATGGGAAATTACTTACAAGGCAGTTTGAAAGAAGATTATAGGGCTAAGTCCTGTTTATCATTCTTTTCCCTCTAATGCCTTTTATAGGAAGGTACCAGAAAAGGGGGATGGGAGAAGAATGCAGTCCTATTCCCAACAGAGAGAGAAGCAAATAAATAATCTGCAAAATCTCATTTTGTTTTATGTAATCTATTTTTTTTTTACATAAAATAGGAGCTTTGAAGTTTGTTCTCACACAGCCTCAAATTTACAAACCTAGGAAAAGATGCCTTGTGATAAATAAAATGTGAATTATTCTCTATCATTCCCTAAAAGAATAACGGCTCAGGAAAAACTGCATCATTGTGGAGAAAATGTAATTTAGTAGAAATAAATATTCTGATTGTAAAACATTAAAAATTTAAAGCTGCTCCATAAAAAAAAAATTTAAGGTAGCTTTACAGTGTAGCAATACTGAGAATTCAAAGCTGGTTTTGTTGCTATCAAAGTTAACATGACTGAAATTAGATGCTTCATTCAAAAAGGTTTAGGGAACTCACATATCCTTTTCAATGAGTAAACTGGATTACTGGATCCAAGAGCAAAACTGTTTTATGTATAGCTCTACCACATCCAGACAAAACTCCATTTAAAAAAGGAAAACAAGGCAGTATGTTAAGGGAGTCTCTATGCACTTGAAGTCAAGAATCAAAGGCTGTTAATTTTTAGCATACTAAACATTTGAAAAGAAATAGTAAAAAATTAACTCTTTGGCAGTGAACTCCAAGCAACTCCTACATCTCTTACCTGTATGAGGGGATAACTACCAGTGTTCTAAAAGAAACAAAATAATTGAAACATTCAAACCCAAGTGTACACAATCTCTAAACATTAAATCTGAACCATAGTTCCTCTTGGTATAACTTTTACATAAATCCTACCAAATAGAAAATAATTAATGTAAAGAAAAGAAAGATTTACAGAATAGCTCTATCAGTGATAAAAGCTAACTCTAAAATTTAAGTGATGACACAATTATGGAGAGAACTATAGTAAGTGGGACTACATAATACATTTTGTTCCTTATACTTTTCTTCTTTAGACTGTATTACAAATAACAGAGCTTAACTAGAATTTTTCAGCTCTTACATGGATATAACAAAATTGCTCGATTAGAATCAGACTATCTTTTACTTTCAACACTTGGGGCCTTCTAGTCATGGATTTTGCTAATGCCGCAAGCAATGCAACAGGGTCTACAGGAAGAAAACGGAACCAGTGAGGATAAGGACTTGTGGTTTTAGGAATCCATTTCCCTCCACATAGTTTAGCAATTACTACAAGGCTCTAAGGTCATACTTTTTTATTTCAGGGGGGAATTAATTATGTAAGACCTTTGAAAATCATCATTGAGGCAAAAATGCAAGCACATAACTTTTGCAAATGAGGGACTAAGGAATTTCCGAGACAGCATGCTGGTTGGTGCCCTTAAAGAGTTTATTCACCTGTAAAGTGTGAACAGTTTATTCACAAGTGATTCACATACTACAAACAAGGTCAAATTATTTTCCCTTCTGAGACCAATGAGTCACTTTAATGTTCAAGAGAGGATACACATCAAACGTACAAAAAGCAAGTGAAAATTAATTTAGTTGTATATTCCCACTTCAAGAGACTTTGTGACCCCCTTTACTTAATGAAGCCAATTACACTACTTAAGGGATGGAAGCTCACACTATAAGCTATTTCAGACTTACTGAGACCTTCTAACCTTCACTGTTAGAAATACTTTTTGGCTTTAAAAGAGGCTGCTATCCATCGATTGATGAATGGATAAAGGTGTGGTGTACATATATATAAATAAATATATATTTAAAATAGAATATTATTCAGCCATAAAAAGGAATGAAATCTTGCCATTTGCAATGGCATGGATGGAGCTAGAGAGTATATATAATGCTACGTGAAATAAGTCAAAGAAAGACAAATACCATCTGATTTCACTCATATGTGGAATTTAAGAAACAAAACAAACAAGCAAAGGGAAAAAATTAGAGAGAGAGACACAAAGCAAGAAACAGACTCTTAATTATAGAGAACAAACTGATGGTTACCAGAGGGGAGAGGGGTGGAGATGGGTTGAATAGGTGATGCGGATTAAGGAGTGCACTTGTTTTGAAGAGCACAGGTTGATGTATGGAAGTGTTGAATTACTATATTGTACCCCAGAAACTAATACAACACTGTATGCTAACTAACTGGAATTAAAATAAAAACTTAATCAATCAATCAATCAATCAATAAAAAAAGAGGCTGTCAATTTAGAGCATGAGTAGAATAATGCTCAGGAAACCTAAGAGTGGTGACATAGTAATTTGCAAAAATTTGCTTCAGACTTCAAATCTGAAATCTAAAGTATGTTTCATAATGCTATTCGTGTCAACCTAAATTTGAACCTAGGGTTTACATTACACTGGCAAAAGATACTACTGCTAATTAAACTTTATACTTATCTAAATATAGGGCTTACAAATGATGATTCTTGAGAGTTCACCAGTAAACACATCCTCTGAAAGCCTCCCAAAATTTTGAAAAATTGTTTTAAAAATGTCAGTTTAAATGATACTCTTCTAGGATATAGGCAAGGAGTACAAATTTGCCGACTCACCTCACGGCGCTGGAGTCCCCAAGGGGAGGAGTGTTGAGGTAGTCTTGAGGAAGAGTAGAGCACCAGACAGGTATTCTAGGAAGAGGTACACAGGCACCTGAAAGGGTACACAGTGTTCTTACAGTCCTGGCTCATTTTTATCTTAAAAATGCTAAACTACCCCATTTTAACTTATAATCATCAAAGACCAAATAAATAAGCTTTAGCTTCAAAAGTTTTCCCAAGAAGAATTTTTCATCCCCTCTCTGACTTCCCCCTTACTCATCTGAACTACAATACTTGTGGGGTGAGTCTGTTTTCTGTTTGGTTTCAATTAGCATTTTTCTGCCATTGAAAAAAGAATCTCAGTTGTTTCTGAAAAAGGTCATTTGATGGGCCGATGGTGTTCTAGGAAAGACTGTGTGCTGCCTTATTCTCCTGACCAAAGCTTCCTGCAACACCACAATAATTTCTTGAAAGCAGTTTAACAGATATTTGGAAAACTGCCTAGACCCAGGGCCTAGAAGTGACACTGAAGGACAGATCTCAGGTTTTCAGTCTTCAAAAATAAAAACAAAAACATGCCACACTTTTCCTTGGTGAGTATAAATTATTACCACCAGCTAACCCAAGAAAGAGGGTAACTTGGCACCAGTTCTTCTGACCATTCTATTGCCTAATGCTGTGAGAATGTGAAACTCTGCCATTAGTTATAAAGAAAGCTTAAGAAAGAAATCTTGGCCACAAGGCGGGAATTGACGAAATTCAGATGTCTGCCACATTCAGACTATGCCCTTAACAGATGTTTCTGCATTTATTTATAGAAAGGTTTACTTTAGTAACAAGACCATCTTCCATCAACTATTTTTTTTTTGCACACCAAGACACTAAACTACTTTTATTATGAGTAGAAAACACCATGAAAAAAGTTACAATCCTTAAAATCTTAGTTATGAAATAATATGAAATATCAAATTAGAAATAAAAAGAGAGAGCCCCAATCTGATGCAAACTATCAGAAAATATATAAATTTCAAACACAACTGAAGACAGGGTAAGTTACTCCAAAATTTCCCCTTCCACAGCTGGGCTCTCCCTGCAAGGCTACTATATCCCTGAATGGACACACTGTCTCTCAGTCTGGTTATCAGACGAATGTTTCATATAACTTAACAGTTGTATAAAAACACTACCCATTTCTAGATTATTTTTTACATAGTGTTATGGCTGCAGGGCAAAGGTGCATTAGTGCTTCCAAGTTTTCAAAGAAAAAGAGGACAGCACGCACATTAAAATTCTTTCTCATGAAAATAAATAAGCTTTAAGTGAACTAGGTATCACAGAATTCCTGTTTCATCATTTTATGTCAGATGGGTTAGAGCCTTCTGGCTTCAACTAGACCTACCTACCTACCTCCTAAAGAAGCTAAAGAAAGACACGTACTTGAGGCTCATGTGTCTTGGTAAAAGAGCCTGTCCGTGGAGCATGTCATCCAAAAAGCAATGAAGAGTCAGCCCTGCTGGGAGAGAGTACTGGAAAATGAATTAAAAACTGCGTGAGAAAGGCTAAATAGACTAAGCACCCTAATTCCCACCCCTGGGCCCAGAAGCCATCTGGAATCCAGCTCTCTGCCAAAGGGATTCTTATTTATCTAAATTAAAAATCTCATTTTTTACCTGTCTTTTCTTCTTTAAAGCCTCATCTTTCTTTTCAGTTTTGTTTTCAAAAAAACCTTTCTTTTTTAATTTAATTTTATTGTTATGTTAGTCACCATACAGTACATCATTAGTTTTTGATGTAGTGTTCCATGATTCATTGTTTGCATATAACACCCAGTGCGCTCCATTCAATAAAGAGGGCACGTATTGAATCAAAACAATCTTTTGAACCCGGGAAGTGGGCAGTTGAGGAGTTTCTAAAATTGATATAATCATTATCTTCTTTTATCCATAAAATAAGGTTATCAATACTAGAGCCAGACATTTAAAGGCCAAGAAGATTATTGTGCCTATTTCCTCACGTATAATTCAAACTGATACTTACATATATGCTAACATTAAAATCTCTCCTTTTTAGATTTTTATAATTGCAAAATTCTGGATGAGCCACAGTTCTTTGGAATGGGATGGCAAGTGTCCTGGGAACAGGCTTGCGATGCCTGTGGGAAATGCCAAAACTGACAAGAAGCAAGGGTCTCAGGCTCTTGTGTACTTGTACGCACCTCTCTAGTCTCCTGTGAGGCTTCAGTCCTCTCCCTACTGATATCTATAACCATCCTAACTATTCAACCCATTGCCCACACCACTTAAAACACACACACACATACAGAGCAAATCCTACAATTCTACTCTTTTTAAAAGCCTCCACAAAAAAAGTTCAAACTTCTTTTGTTTTGCCTATAACTGTAGTGACAATATTTTCCTAACTGCAAATATGGACATAAGATCTAGCAATTGTGAGGGTGGTCATGAGGCAGTAAGACATTCGTGATTTAAACTGAGATAAGCTCAGAAAACTTACGACGTCCTGGGGCTCCACCTGAGACTCTTCGCATCCTTGCATGCCACTGTCTAAACTTACTTCGAGTCATTCCCTTGAAGCCACCACAGGACATGCCCCAGCCTCAACCCCACGGCTCAGCTCCTCCGCCTCTAGCTCTCCTTCATGCTGGCGTCTCTTCCCGGGTTCCACCAACTTTCTGTGCTGACCAAACTCCAACTTACCCTCCAAGAGGCCACTCAGATGTCTCACATTCCCTGGAAGCCTTCCCTCATCCAAACTGATCATTCCAGAAAATCTCAAGTGGCTGGCTAATAGTACTCTCTGGGACTGTTTCCTAAATCCCCACAACTCTACGAGGAAGGTAAGCTATAAAAAGGGAATAATCAGAAAAGGAAACTAAAGAATTAGGAAGGTTGAATAAGAGGTCCAAGGTCATATAGCCAATAAATAAGGGAGCCAGAAATTGAACTCAGGCAAACTGACTTCAGAGCTCATGTTCTTCAACACCTGACCTCATCATCTTCAGTATGTACCTCTGTTGTAATACTTGGAAAAATTATAATGAAACATTTGCCTTTCCTTGAGGGCAGAGACATTTTGCACTGCTATCTATATTCAATTGAAATGGACCAATAATCAATATATGTCAACATGTGCAATTTGGGATAAAAGATGTAAAATCTGAAAACCTCCACACTCCAGTAATTATATTATTTTTGATAAAATTAAAATTTAAGTTATCTGAACATTCACTGGACACTTGCGCATATTAGATTAAACATTCTAGTTTTTTCAAGGTAGCCCCCAAAGATCCTTGCCTCCTGGTCTTCGTACCGTTGTGTATTCTCCTCCCACTATGAGCAGAGTTAACGTGTATAGCCAGCAGGATTATCATGGAAATGATGTGTGACTTCCAGGCTAGGTCATAAAAAACAATGCAGCTTCTATCCTGCTCTCTCATCCTTTGCTCGTGTTATTACACACGGTCAAACAGCCTTATGGAGAGGTCCGCATGGTAAGAAACAGGCCTCCTGCCAACAACCAGTTCAAACTTGCCAGGCATGTGAGCAAACTATCTTGGAAGTGAATCTTTCAGCCCCAGTCAAGTCTTCACATAGACTACTTATAACATGGGATGACAACTGGACTTCAATCTTATGTAAGATTCTGAGCTACAGCCACCCACCTAGGACATTCCTGGATTCCTGATCCAAAGAAATTTGGTGAGATAAAACAAAATAAACAAACAAAACATTTATTGTTTTAAGTCCCTAGGTTCAGGGCAATTTGTTATGCAGCAATAGATAACTAATATATATCTATTGTCACATACACAGCCTTTATTTAAATTAGTTTGTAAGAATGCAAATAGAAGTTATTGATGCAAATGAACACAGTATCAGGTTACTGCAATTCCTATACACTGAACAAAACCAAAACAGAATAAGAACTAAAGAGCAAAATAAATTCCAGTTTTCAAGAGATATTGCCTTTTTCCTTTCTTTCTTTCTTTTTTTTTTTTTTTAAAGATTTTATTTATTTATTCATGAGAGACAGAGAGAGAGAGGCAGAGGGAGAAGCAGGCTCCCAAGGAGCAGAGAGCCCGATGCGGGACTCGATCCCAGGACCCTGGGATCATGACCTGAACCGAAGGCAGACGCTCAACCATCTGAGCCACCCAGGTGCCCCCTTTTTAAAAAAAAAAAAAAAAAAAAGAAATAAAGCATGCAAGCCCTTCATCTGCTTGTTGGTATCTCTTAGTGACTGCTGATTAATTGTTTGGTATATTCCCTTCCTCTAAACTAGGCCCACAGATGGATAATCAACGGACAACAGTGGCATTTTTATTACTGTAGAACTCAGAAAAGAGCTTATTGCTCCAGTTATTTAAGTCTTATAGGTCAAATAAGAAAAAGTCTAGGGCACCTGGGTGGCTCAGTTGGTTAAGCGACTGCCTTCGGCTCAGGTCATGATCCTGGAGTCCGGGGATCGAGTCCCGCATCGGGCTCCCTGCTCGGCAGGGAGCCTGCTTCTCCCTCTGACCCTCCCCCCTCTCATGTGCTCTCTGTCTCTCTCATTCTCACTGTCTCAAATAAATAAATAAAATCTTTAAAAAAAAAAAAAAAGAAAGAAAAAGTCTAAAGGTTTGGAGGAAGCTATTCTTTCCTCTGTGACTTCAAGATGCCTGAAAAGTTAAAAAAGCACATTTCTTTTTATCAAAAAGAGAAAATCTGCCTAAATATTCAACGATAAATACTCAACTATAAATAGAATGCAATAGCATACTTTCATAAGTGATATCTCTTTATATACACAAATTAAAATCATAAATATTATGCAAATTTGAAAATCTCCTGAATTTTTAGTTTCTCTAATAAAAGAAAAGGTAGGAACATTCAAAGTTTTTTTTTCTTCTTTGACACCAAAACTCCCAGCCATCCTACATCTGTGAATATGATTCAGTTGTATTAAAAGAAATATGCAATGTTAGTAAGAAAAGTATCTTAGGTTTTACATATTCCATATAAAATGTTAAAACAATAAAATGATTACAGAAATAATAAAGGCAGAAATAAATCCATTATGATGCTATTAGCTGTATTAGTTTGCAAAGCT